GATTATGACTGTTCAAAAACCGCTTGGATGACTAGCAGTATATTCCTGAAATGGTTCCAAAGGTGCTTTGTCCCTCAGGTATGACAATCAATTATCACAAATGCTCTATTCATAATTTGAAGATGTTTTCAATTGGTAGGTAAAAGGTTTCCTAAAACAACAGAAGCTTCCAATAAAAGCGTTGTTACTATTGGATAATGCACCAAGTCATCCTCCCGAGCAACAACTGAGGAGCAGGGATGGGTCAATTTTCGTCATGTACATGCCGCTCAACGTAACAGCGTTAATTCAACCGATGGACCAGAATATAATAAGACTCACCAAACTATACTATACGAAGTTTCTACTTTCGTCTGTCTTATCAAAGAATCCTGAAAACTTATTTGAGGCTTTAAAAAAAGTAACATTACGAGAAGCTGTTTTAGATTTACATATATGGCCTGGAATGAACTTAACCAGCAAACTATTCAAAAATGTTGGAGCAATCTCTTTTGTACCAATAATGAAGATGATGAAGAAGACGATGTCCCCTTAAGCGTAATTAGATAACCTTTGCGATCCAATAATGATAATGTTATTAGTGTGTCATTGGATGTTGTTGATTTATTGAAAACAGTGAATCCCAACATTGTTTGTACTCCTGCTGATATTAATTTATGGAACGAAGATAAGCAGACGAATGATGCTGATAAGGAGGAGGATAAGGACAGTGAGGATGATGAGAACGATCCCATTGAAGTCAGAAGTGTAGTGATTGACGCGCAAGCTATACAAGTTTTTAACCAAGCTTTAGATTGGGCTGAAAGAAAAGAAGTTTCATACACGGATATTTTAGTTCTTCGTAAATTACGGGCGCAGGCGTTGGAAGACAATGCTAAGCGCAAATTTACGCAGACAAAAATTGTTAATTATTTTTCTTCTAATTAAAAAAATACTTTTCGCTGTTAGAATATTTGTTTATTTTGTTATAAATAGTATGTATTAAACGTTTCTTTTAATAAATCAAATATTATATAAATCATGTTCGCTAATGTAAACATTTCGATAATGTGAACCACACTTGGATTAAATTAGTTTACATTATCGAGCGCCTCTCATATATGACATATCCACAGACGTCAACGTCATATATGTCTGGTCATATGGTAGACGGCGGTGGAAATAATGGGGAAATAACTGCTAAAAATAGTGTTTTGGGAAAAAAATTTCATGAAAAGCGTGCTTCATCCAGACTTTTTATTATTTAAAATAATCTATAAGACTACCCTCTATAGGTTTCAAGTGAAAAAACAGTGAAATCCAAAGTTCTACAAGACGCAACAGTACCGAAGAAAGAGCAGTAACAGTTACTTCAGCGTGTTATGTTCACATGTTACAAAATTTTTCTGTTACCCGAACTTCAACGGCAACAAGTAAACATGGGAGAACTGTACTTCCAACAAGTCGGTGCCACAGCTCACACAGCGAGAGCATCAATGGAATGTGTTCGACAAATATTTCCTGAACATGTGATTTCCCGCTTTGGCGATGTTCCTTGGCCTCCACGCTCCCCAGATTTGTCTGCATGTGACTTCTTTTTGTGGGGTTACCTTAAGGCTAAAGTATGCCCTCACAAACCCCGTACGTTGCAGGAACTGAAAATTGCTATTCGTCAAGAACTCGCAAGAATTCCACAAGAAATGATCCTACGTGTAATAACTTTCAAGAGCGGTTGGAGATATGCGAGGGCGAAGAAGGGCGAAACCTGAGTGACATAATTTACCATAATTAATTTAAAATTATCTTAAATATAAAAAATGTTATGCTTACGTGAAAATCATGCGTTTCCTGTGCGCCACCCTGTATAACCGACTGGCGAGATACGTTCAGCATCTGTATCCTATTTGTATAGGAGGCAAAGGAGCCCTGCTTATTTCATGAATTGTGTTCCTAGTCGAATAAGTATATTATAGCGGTCTTAACGTATGTTTGTTTTTCAATTGCTATACCAAAATGCTGAAAGAACTGCAGAAGATCAACAGTTCTTGCATCTCTATACAGCTGATCTGACGGATAAAGTACGTTTTTGTAATAAACTATTTTTATATTATATAAATAATAAATAAATAAATAAATTATATATATATATATATATATATACACAGGGTGTTTCAGTTTATTGTTGCATAACTTTAAGATTCGATAGAACTTTTAAAATTAATGCATCAAGTCTATATAAACATGGGTCGAAAAATGCGTGGCTTCCGAAATACAGGGTGTTTAAATTTACTTTCTGAAATAGTTTTTTTTAAACATTTCGAACAACATTTGATGTATAACAGTGAAAATTGGTATACAAGGGTTTTTTGGTACGAAAAAACGAACCATGGGCATAGTTTTACTGTAGCCGATAGAGGGCGCTCTCTACTGTACCTGTAGTGTATTAAAATGACCGAAGATTTTTTCTTAGTGCAATCTTTTGCTTTTTGAATAAAAAAACTGATTTTTTGCACTTTTCAACATAAAAAAGCTCTCTTGTGAATTTTCGTGATAGTTAGCCGTTTTTGAGATATTTCGATTTTTAAGGTTCGATGCATTTTTAATTATTTATGATAAAATAACGTTAAAAAGTCAGTGTCTCGATAATTTTTAGAAGTAGGCTGTGCCTGCAAATATTTTTGAAATTGAAAGAATAAGGTTAAACGTCAATTAGTTGACAGTTAGTTTTGTTGTCTGTTGAAACTTGAAACGTTTTTTTGCAATTGTAAATGCACGAAATTTAGTTTCTTTTACGTGTTTTTTTTTTGTAAGTTTTATAAAAATGCCATTTTTATTCTCTAATCAAGAGTTAGCGGATATTCATTTTGTGTATGGCTTTGTAAATGGAAACGCAGCAGAAGCAGCCAGAGAATACGCACGAAGATTTCCAAACAGACGACATCCAACTCGCTCAGTATTTGTAAGAGTGCATCGCCAAATAATTGAAAATGGTCTTGGAAATCTCCAAAGGGATCAAAACATAAATGTTCGTCAGCGCAGATTTACCCGTATGATTCTGCGTGAGTTTGATAGAGATCCGACCACAAGTGTTGGGAGAGTTTCTGGTGCCTTGGGAATTTCAGCAAGCCATGTTCACCGTGTTCTTAGAAATGACCATACACGTCCGTACCATTTGCAACCTGTGCAAGGACTACAGCCAGGGGACGGAGAACGAAGAATCACATTTTGTCATTGGATTCTTGATAGAACTGATAATAATAGGGAGTTTTTAAGTAACGTTTTATGGACCGATGGGTCATGCTTCACTAGACGTGGAGTGGTAAATTTTCATAATCAACATATTTGGTCGCATGAAAATCCGCATGCAGTTCGGGAAAGAAATTTTCAGCATGAATTTAGCGTGAACGTGTGGATTGGTATCTACCGTAATCGACTATTTGGGCCCTACCTTTTGCCTGCAAGGTTAAATGCTGCGACCTTTTTGGAATTTTTAAAGGCTGAACATGCAAATATGTGGGATGATGTTATGTTAGATTTAAGAAGATTGGCCTGGTTCCAGCTTGATGGTTTTCCAGCTCATTATTCGAGAGTAGTTAGGAACTGGCTGGACGAAAATTATCCAGAAAGATGGATCGGCCGTGGAGGACCAGTCGCCTGGCCTCCACGATCCCCTGACCTAAATCCATTAGATTTCTTTGTGTGGGGATTTCTAAAAGAAAAAGTGTACCAGACTCCCGTGACCACAAGAGATATGCTAATAGACAGAATCAGGAATGCATGTGATGAAATAAGGCCTCATTTGAATAATGCTATACCACGTTCGATCATTCGTAGATGTGAATTGTGTATTGAACAATTGGGTTTACATTTCGAGCAACTACTTTAGATTTTGTATGTTTGTCCTAACTATCCAATAGTATTTTAGTTGTAAATAATTAATTTAATTTCTTAAAAATAATATTGGAAAATTAAACAAATTAATATTCTGTTTTTTTGTGTTTATTTGGAGTTAGGAATTATCGCTGTGTTTAAAAACACAATCTAAACGATCATATTAATTACTTGTAATGCCCAAATCGAAAATGTAAAAAAAATATTATTTCCCATCAATAATTAAAAATGCATCGAACCTTAGAAATCGAAATATCTCAAAAACGTCTAACTATAACGAAAACTTACAAGAGAGCTTTTTTATGCAGAAAACTGCGAAGAATCAGTTTCTGCATTCAAAAAGCAAAAAATTTCACAAAGAAAAAATTTTCGGTCATTTTAATACACTACAGGTACAGTAGAGAACGCCCTCTAGCGGCTACAGTAAAACTATGCCCATGGTTCGTTTTGTCGTACCAAAGAACCCTTGTATACCAATTTTCACTATTATACATCGAATTTTGTTCGAAATATTTAAAAAAAAACTATTTTAAAAAGTAAATTTAAACACCCTGTATTTCGGAAGCCACGCATTTTTCGACCCATGTTTATATAGACTTTATGCATTAATTTTAAAAGTTCTATCGAATCTTGAAGTTATGCAACAATAAACTGAAACACCCTGTATATATATTTATAGCTCCTGAACTGCCCGTTTCTCTGTTGCCAAGTGATAGTTGTTCAAAAAATCAAACATATTTGTCGTAACCTGTTCATTCAAAGCTCGTGTCTCCTGCAGGTATAATCATTCACTTTACTGCACATAACAAAAACCATACGCAAAAAGAATAATATCTTTGACTACACCTGTGTTACCATACTCTGACAAGGACAGTAAAAAGTGGATACGAATTAGAGACAAAATACGTGCACACTTTGCATCAGTTTGATTTCCGTACCGGGGCATCATGAGCAATTACCAGGACTTGCTCTCCTTTATGACCTGATGGTACTCGGTACCATCTCGTTTCCGCGAAACTCGGTCTGCTATCGATTTTAAATTAAATTATTAGTTTTTTTGCGGTTGTGTGTTATTGTGAGGCCGGTCGTTTAGCTGATTGCGATTAAAACGTTTGGAATGCCAGCGGGTAATGAAGGCGACTTACGATCGGGACGTGTCTCTTCCTATTTCGGAGGGAGCTTGGTCGGAATGCGATCGATGCCGGCGGCGACCAGCGACAGCGAGAGTGACCACCAAGTCTAAATACGCAGAAATCAAGTTACCTGGAAAATTGGACGATGCTGAACGGAAAAATTCAGCAGGTTAGTCGGCTGAAAGTCAGCAGATGAGCGATTTCAATTTTGACATACTATACTGAACATTACCATTACGAAAAAGGGCAGTAAGCCTTAAGCCACTACCAAACTTTCATGAATTTTAGAAGACAAAAAATGGCGCCGAGTGGATTGATCCGGCACTAAGTCAGTCAAACAGACCCATTAAAACTAGTCTATAGACATGCTTTCCGATCATGTGGCAACGTTGTCCCTTTCCACATCTACGCGGCATCTGTGCGGCGAGTTATCTTTCAGTTCGTGAAAGCTTCGTATCTTCGTATGTTTTTTGGGCTACAATACGAATAATATACGTATAAATATACTATGATCAAAAAAATCATATCTCTTCCCCACCCCCTACAAACGCCAACCCCCAAATTTCAACCCCTACGAAAATTCTGAAAATGATCAAGAACGTCTAATACGTCGAAAAACGAAGTTTGAGTGATTTTACTCTTTTTGTTTTTGGTCTTTTTCTCCGTCACCAGTACTAGTGTAGTACTAAACTTGTAAATTTTTCGCAATCACAATACTTTCTTGACAGTTTTGGCATAGAAAGTAAGAAGAAGTAAAAGTCAAGCGCAATTCTAAACATATCTGGCTAATTAAAATATGTAGTAGTAAAAATACCTTTTTTCATCTTTGGCTTAGAATTACGCCGTCTGATGGCCAAGATCAAAGGGTTTTAGTACATCTGTTACCGGTAATCTGTATATGTTAATTCAGGTATTCTATACAATACCTAGCCAATGTATAGAATACCTGGGTTGCTCACGCAATGTATGAAATATTAGGAATATTATTATACATTACCGGCAATGTGTAAAATAAATGGATCTTGGTCTAAATTTATCAATCTTAACTGGAATACCTATAAAATGACGGGCAAATCAAACAAATTATATTATTTAAAATAAAGTTTATTCAAATTAGCGTTTTTTTTACTTTCCTGCGGAGCTTGTGGTTTGGGCGTCGTTTTGTTAACTTCCAAATTGTGGGATATGAGACCACCAAACACCAGTTGATGGAGTCTTTTATTTGGTACCTTACGTTTAGTTGTTTTGGTTTTGGTGCTACTCCGTCCATTTTCTTATGGGATTTTAACCTTCAGCGTGGGAAGGCATTGCGGAGAACCACCAATCACACACCTCCAGTTTTATTTTGTAGCTGCTTGTAGCTGTTTTGCAGCTGATATTGCTAGAAACCACCCATCCTCCTTGAGCAAAACCCGTTCCTTGCTCTCGTCTTTCACATACATTACTGGCTGCGCATTCGGTATTGTATAGAATACCTAGGCAAAGTATAAAAAAATAATATTTCATACATTACCTACACGTTTTAGGTATTCTATACATTACCTAGGTCTTGTATAGAATACCGGATTATACAGATTGCCGGTAACACATATACTGCAAAAGTACTTTAATTATTTATACGATTCGGTAGATGAATGCTTCAACGCTTTGCTTAGTCCAGCTACGCGTAAAAATTTTAAACAGTCTTACTTTAATCATACCTTTATAAATAATAAATATAATTTGCAACAGTTTGTATATTTTATCATGTACTTTTGTAATAATGAACAGTAGTGATACTATCTACTGCAATTGAGATTGTTTAAAATCTAGAAACGTCGATTTTGTAATTGACACCCACCTATTTTTAAATGGAATCAAGGAAGCTGATGACCTTAACTCTTTTGTCTTCATCAATGAATAAACATTCATAAAGAGTAGGCAAGCGTAGAGGGTAAGAAGTTTTGATAGTATATTTTGTTACAGTTTATAAAACTTATGAGTAGTGAAGACTCCTGTGTTAAAATGGTCGAATGGTATCAATATCTTACTTATATTTTGATAGTTATACCGTATCTGTTGAGAATCAATACGGACAAGGTATACGAGGTCAAAAAGATTGTTTCCTAGTAATGGACTCTAAGCTCTATTTTTATCTCAAAGTTTTCGATAGAAGTACACCAAAATAATTATGAGACTGGTAAGCTCGACTTTCGTAATTATTATTCTGTTCAAACTAGCATATGGTCAACATAACATAAAAAGATTTAAGCCTTCAAGTGCCATTAAGACAGCGTCGCGAGGAATGTACATGAGAAATAAGATTTTTTCTTGTTTTTAAAGTATATTGAACGAAATATCTAAAGAAACCGGCAGTTTTTTGTTTTTTTTTTACACAGAGTTTTATATTTTCACCTTATGGATCATTCCAGGCTTTTGTATATGGTAGGTTTGAAAAAATGTTACAAAAAACAAAAAGCTTGGAAATGGTGTCAACGTATTTTTTACATATTGTATAGTGGAAAAAATACCGTCATTTGGTATTTCTGAGGCGGTGTGACCCCAAAGATATCGAATCCATAACAAGATAAATCATTAGTGTATATATATATATACAGGGTGTCCGCAAGGTTGGGGTTTTCCTTTTCAGAAACAACTACCCTTGAAATAACAAAGGTAATGTGTAGTGAAACGAGGGCGACCAAGTAAAAAAAATAAAGGAAAAAGTATTCACTCTCCAGTTGACGAGAAGGGCTAAGTACGTCTCTGCCCGAAATCATACCGCTCCAACAGAAAATGAAATCAGCTGATGCGCTACCGAGCAGACGCAGAAACCACATTGATTGTCTTACACTTAATGGCACATCTTCTAACAAGGAAGGCAAAATGTTGCGTAAAAAGTCTAGGTACTGCATCCCGTCCAATCGATTTGGGAGAATAAATGGTCCAATGAGCATACCGTTCACCATGCCAGCCCAAGCATTCACCGAAAATGTTTGTTGAAAATGTGCCCGACGGACAGCGTGCGGATTTTCTACTGACCAAACATGAGTGTTGCGAAAGTTATTCACACCATTACGCGTGACAAAGTCCGGATTATTGTCATGTTGATGCAACAACCACTCACAAAACCGCACTCTTGCTGGAAAATCGTCAGTTTGAAGCTTGTACACGTTGGACGTGAAACGGATACAGCCCCTCTTCACGCAGCGTTTGCCACACTTTAGTTTTTGATACTTGCACTTCTCTAGCCACGTCTCTAGTGCTTGTTGAGGGATTCTCGTCTACACGATTACCTCTACACTCGTGACCGTAACCGTCGGTTGAAGGTTGCATACTGACCTGACACACTGACCCCGACCCAGTTCTGTCGTCGGGTTGAGCCAGTGACCTTGTACCAGTCGGTGATGTCGCGGCTACAGGACGGTATTCAGATATTTTTGATGTTGCAGAGCCCTTTATCTCGGTTCCCTTAAGACATTGGTGTATATGGTACTAAGAAAAATTGCTTATGTTTTCAAGATCTACTCGTCGTGTAAAGGAAAACCCCAACTTTGCGGACACCCTGTATATATAAATATATATATATATATATATATATATATGTGTGTATACGTTGTCGGATGGCTGTGAAACATTTTAAAATGTTTAAGACTAGCATCTACGAAATAAATGTTAAATCCGAGAGCCGGAATCCTTCAATTCTGAAACATCCTAAGCTTGTAACTTGTAAATGAGCTACTGGGTTGCAAATTTTGGAATGATTAAATAACCTATAGATCAAAATCTGTGGCTAATGGAATTCTGTCCAAAGCCATATATATATATATATATATATATATATATATATATATATATATATATATATATATATATATATATATATATATCTTTAACCTCGTTAGATATTGGCGCTATTATAGCATGCCCACATTATTTTTAGCTTGCTTATCAAAGCAGCAGTTGCTAGTTTTAAAATTTCCTAACATACATGCATCTGCCTGTAACCTGTGTTCCATATTGGAACCCCTTGGTATACAAATACAGAAAAAAAACCGAGTGAAGCATAACCAATACCTGGCTGCATTCCAGATACATACGGACTCATCAGATCGCCTTGTTCGTTTTCTGAAGCAAACGCATAATTGCAAATATCCTTTTCCTTCGCGGATAGCGAATACCAATATCGAAACTGAAAATGGAATGTTCAGCAAGCATCTGCGATTTTTACTGCCCTATGTTCGCAGTATCCATGTCGACGATTCGCCATCATCAGATAGAATAATTAAAAGCATATAAAGAAGATATAAAAATTTATGGTCATTTCCAGGTCTGGCTGCCATTAACAATTACGATTAAGTCGGCAGAACGTGCGGTGCAGCGGCGAGACCACTCGAGTTACTTTACGCTCTGTAATGCACCAATGACATGAGACGACTGTGCATGGTGGCATTTTTAGTCCAGTTCAATTTTATTATCATACTGAAAGTTATTCATTCACTGCCGGATTACTTTATTTAAAGTTGTAATAAAACACGATATACAGGATAGGATGCCACTGTATGGCCGAATCAAACTACAAATACGCTTAAATTTTTGTTGGTTGTACGACGTTTCGGCCATCACGGTGACCTTCAAGTGCAATGAGAATAATGACAGTTCCTTAATGATATGTGAATATTTAAGGGTATGAATCTACATGAAAAATTAATGTTAGTTTGTTTTATAAACTATGGTCCAAAACTGTTTCCTTACAAAAACTCGAGGTGTTGAAGTTTTAGGAAAACAATGGAAATTAATTAATATTTTCAGAACCGCTTCAGATATATTCAGTACGTAGCAAAAGTTAATAAAGTTGCATATTTGTCATTCCAAAAATAATTTTTAGCTTTAACAGTGGCGTGCGTACGAGTATTGACTTCTTAAGAAAAAAATGGTACGCTGGTTTTTTACCAAATAAAAACGATTTTTAAATTGGCCGTTCAATTTAAGACTGAATTATTTTCCTTCGATACGCCATTTTTGAGTAAAAAAATAAAAACCGTTCTATTGTCTAACTTGCAAAATTATTAATTTATTTGGAAAAATTAAACACATTAAGGGTAATGAACAACAATAACTGACAACATAAATATAACATTAAAACCAACGAAATGATTACTAAAATTGTTGAAAATGGCCCCCTTCACTTAGTATCCATGCTTCCGCCCTCCTTCTCATGGAATTGCGCACTCGTTGAAATATCCCTGGAGTGTTTTTTATTCTATCACAAGCTGCAACTATTCTTTCTCTTAATTCCTCTACAATGTTAATGGGAGTTGTGTATACTAGTGTCTTAAGATAGCCCCTTAAAAAGAAATCTAAACTGTTGAGGTCTGGGGACCTTGGTGGCCATTCTTGGGGCACACCGCGGTAAATCCAACGATTTGGATAAACAGTTTCTAGATAATTACGAACCGTTACACTGAAATGCGCTGGTGCGCCATCATGCATGTACCACATATTTATTGTTTCTTATTACTTACGGAACATCATCAAGCAGCAAAGGCAACTGAGGTTGAAGAAAATTGTGGTAAGTCTGCCCGTCAAGTCGTCCCGGCAAGAAGAATGGGCCAATAAAGTGGTTGCCAATAATTCCTGCCCATACGTTAACCGAAAATTGGTGTTGGAAATGGGTTTCGGTTACGGCATAGGAATTTTCTTCTGCCCACAAATGATTATTGTGGAAATTCTGAATTGCATTTCGAGAAAAATTATTGATTCAAATTACGGATTTTGGGTATTTTTTTGAAGATACCACTGACAAAAGGTAGCACGCCTTGGAAAATCAATGGGAAGTAATGCCAATACTCTTAAAATATGGTAAGGATATAACAAAAAATCCACTAAAATTCTCCAGACAATTTGATGGCAAATATTTAAGTGTCCAGCGATCTTCCTCGAACTCGTTTCAGGATGTTCTTCGACTTCGTGCAGCACTGCTTCCTCAATTTCAGGTCTCTTAGAGGTCTACCTTCAGATGTTCCTTTTCGGACAGAACCAGTTTCAACAAGGCGACGATGAATATTAGAAAAGGTTCGACTCTCTGGCAAAGCACGATCGGGATATCTCTGGTGATAAATCCGTCTGGCTTGCTCACCATTACCGTCGGCAAGGCCATATACATAATGGTATTTCCGCCATTTCTGCATTTGAATAATTCACCATTATTAACAAGGTTGTAAAAACTAAATAATGGAAAAGATGTCACAGCAAACAGATTTGAATAACAGAGACTTGTCAGATATCAAAAGCCAGTGACATATTCCAGAGCAACTAGATATTTATTGCTAAATCGCATTCTTCAATTATTACATTAATTTTCTGGGACAATAGAACGGTTTTTATTTTTTTACTCAAAAATGGCGCATCCAAGGAAAACAATTCAAGAGAGGTCATTTGTTTTAAATTGAACGGGGAATTCAAAAATAATTTTTATTTGGAAAAAACTATTGGCGTACCATTTTTTTCTTAAAAAATAAAGGTAGGAAAAATAAAAAGGATTTTTTTCTCGTCTGTCTCCCGAAACTTTCTGAGTGCCATTTTCTCAGTTACCTGAATGCGCATCTCTGCCCCTGCTTAACTGACTTCGTATATCTTTACCGAGATATCAGTGGTAAGAGTCGTATAAACACCCAGTACGCTATTGTGCAAATAGTTGATTCTGCGCTTGCTACAAGTGAGCATGAAGTAAATGACAGCTAGTTTCAAGTTGACTTCTTGTTGGAAAGTCTACATGTCATAAAAACCTATATAATGTCAAAAAACCTACATAATGTCACTTTTCAAGATACCTAATACTGCGGCTCCTTCAATGGGCTGTAGGAGACATCACCAGTGATGAAAAGGGCCTATACAGGGTGATTCAGAAAACAATGGCTATACTTCCTAAGCAGAAAATACATCCCTAGCATAACCTAAAATGCCAGATCATAATACAGTGTGTTATGAATGTCTCTGTTGCTGATCGGGCTAAATAAAAATAAGTACAAAACGTGAATCTCGTTGAAATAACGCTTAGGCGAGATGGGATTACCCTCGTACACTAGTTTGTAGACCACTTAAGCTGCAACGTAAACGTTGTGTTGAAAATTACGTACCTATGTAAAACACATTATTCTCCATACTTATATCCTATTTGATACGAAACCTGAACATCCACGGAAGCGAGAATGAACCCTGCGCAAAGGCATTAACATCCTTTTGTCTCGCTACTAGCCAACGACCGACCCTCGTTTTCCTAAATTACCAGCAGCAGGCAGTAGCCTTCAATTTCCTGGTATGCGTGGTGCGTGGGCGAGAGGAGAGTCCTTCAGGACGAAGCTGCTGGCTCTAACGACGCATGACCCATGTCGGCAAACAATGGCCAAATGGACGGTCACAGAGAATGACATACGTGCAGGTCAAACGGCCCTTCCACTAACAATGGCACTTCCTACGCACCGCACAAAAGAACAAACACATGTGTGTGTGTATCCTTGCGCAATAATTTCCAGAATCACATTGCAATGTGTCCCGTCGAGTGGTTAGAGTTACGTCGTTACGGTGACAGGCTATGAAATAATACCAGCGTAAGCCCGCAGTAGTGCAAAGTATAGGCCATACGTTTTGCATTAGTTTGACTACACAAGGGTTCTACGAAAAGTTTTAGGATAACAAAAGTAATTTATCGATAGCCTCAACTACGACCTCAAAATTATATTAACAGGAATTGACACTGTATCACTATTACTATGATCAAAGTAAGCCTTCCTATAATTTTCTTTCATATCGCTCACATAATGAATTTTTATTTAGAAAAAGGATACCACTCTGAATAGTGGAAGAGATGGTCTTAATTATACATGTCCCTTAAATCTCAATCTTAGCAAGTTTTTTTTAGTAACCGAAGCCTTAAGATAACCGAGATATTAGGTGCCGAAAAGCCAACAAACCCCTCGTACGTCATCATGTATGATGTTGCTGTACTAAAGCTATGTAAGTCAGCATCAAAATACACAAACCGCATCTGAATAACAGAAATCGGCATATTTCTAGAGCATTGATTCCCAAAGTGGTCTATATCGACCCCTAGGGGTCTATGACAAACTGCAAGGGGTCTACGTCAGCGAAAAAAAATTTGGGGGTCCATGAAATGAATATGGGGGTCCACGATAGTGGATCTCAATACATACACTGATAGTACCTATTTACTTACATCATACTATCTTATAATATGAAAACATATACATTATTTATAAAAGTACCTATGAAGTAAAAAATTTATTATATATGTTTATAAAATTGTGTAACTTGTAGGATGTTGGTATTCGCTTTGTATTCGCAATACATTTTGAACTTGTAAAAACCTGAGAGTCGCAGTCTCAGAGCTTCGCTACCTTGCACTGACTTGTTCAATTCGTGACTCTATAAATACGAATGTGGGACAAATACGTTTATTCGTTTCCTGAATCTTGAAAAGTGCTAAAAAATATTTTTAAAAATTTAAACAGATAGTATATCACACAAATTATAGTGAGTCAGTGTTATTTTGTTTGAGAGTGCTGGAGAAAAGTAAGTACATTATTTTTTATTAAATTTTAGTTTTGTACTCTTAGTTAGCAAAGATAGATAAATTACGCCAATCATGACTTTAGTTATTAGTAGTTAAATATTCAATCATGCAAAATTACACGAGTACTCCTCAATAGTTTCTTTTTGAAAGTTTTAGCAATCGGTAATATAATTACAGTGCAATCTCCGTAATTCGAGCTAATTGTTGCAAGAAGATGTTCGAATTATGGAATGTTTTCGGAAAAATCAAAAAATATTTTTAATATTTTATTTATTTATTTATTTTATTATGCTGGATTTTCTGTCTTATTTAAATAATTTTGCCCACAGATGACTGATGCCATGTCCGAATCTAAAAAGAAATGTAGACAGTACAGTGTTGATTATTTGAAATTTGGCTTCATTCCAGCATTGCCGGACAAACAATCGCCTATGTGCCTTTTATGCAACAAAGTTTTGGGCAATGACGCTATGAAACCATCTAAACTACAAGATCGTCTGAGAAGATGCCACCCTGATAAAACAGAGAAAGATTTGAAATACTTTCAAACACTCAAAGATAAATTTCAGAAGAGACCTACATTGGACAGAATATTCGCTTCGACGTCACAAAGAAATGATGATGGTTTGCGGGCGTCTTACAATATCTCGTTACTTATAGCAAAATCCGGAAAACCGCATACTATCGGAGAGAAGTTAATTTTGCCAGCCATTGAAGAGGTATTAAAAACTGTTTTACACAAACCTGAATCTGATATCATTAAAAGAATTCCCTTAAGCAACAATACTGTTGAAAGACGTATTGATGAAATGAGTTCTGATATTGAAAGCTTCTTATGTAATTACATATTTGCAAACGACCCATTTCTCTATACAACTAGTCGAGTCAACTTTACCTGATCATGCAGCATTATTATTGGCATATGTTCGTTTTATTATGAATCAAGAAATCTACGAAGAACTGCTCTTCGCAAGAACTTTGATAACCGACACTAAAGGTGAATCAATATTTCATGTTTTGAAGGATTACTTCATTGAAAAAGCAATTCCTTTATCAAATATAATATCAGTAGCTACAGATGGAGCACCTGCCATGGTTGGACATTATCGTGGATTTATAAGCTATTTAAAACAAAATGTGTCAGGGGTGTTAGCAATACATTGCGTCATCCATCGACAACATTTAGTTGCTAAAAATTTGAATGTTAGATTACATGAATCACTTCATTTAGTCATTGATGCAGTAAACCGAATCCGAAGCAACGCGTTGAATACGCGGTTATTTGCGCAGTTGTGTGAAGAAAATGACGAACACTTTCATCAATTACTCCTTCACACTAAAGTACGCTGGCTGTCGAAAGGCTTATGTTTGACAAGATTTTTTGCACTTTTTGAGACTATTTTAGAATTTCTGGATACTAAAGATAAAATTTTAAAAGAAAATTTAATGAAGAGGAAAACAGACATCGCCTATTTAACAGATTTGTTTACAAAATTTAATATGGTTAATTTGCAATTACAAGGCGACAGTTTAAATTTGATTAAAACAAAGTCCATCTTATCAGCGTTTCTTGCCAGAGTTAAACTAATGAAGCAAAATATTAGACGGGGCCAATTTGCTCAGTTCCCCAATTTGTCACAGACAAGCTGTCAGGAAGACGACGTTTCAACTTACGTTCAACATTTAAATGCCCTCTATTCAGATTTTGAATCTAGGTTTGAGGATATTTTGACTATGGTAATACCACCGTGGATAATTAATCCATATGGTGACATAGAGGAAACGAATGTCATAATACAAGAGGAACTGACTGAACTAAGTACAAACGAAGAACTTAAAGTTCAGTTTAAAAACGGATATCAGCAATTCTGACTGCAAAACAACATATACTTATCCCGTATTATGGAATATAGCGAGGAAATTTTTAATTTCCTTTCCATCGTCATACCTAGTGGAAAGGGGGTTCAGCGCTGTTACCAATCTCCTAACGAAAAAAAGAAACAGAGTGAACATCATTAGCCGAGGAGATTTAAGATTAACCCTTACAAGATTGACGCCAAATGTTGATAATTTATTATTAAAGCATCAGGTTCATCCTTCTCACTAAAAATATTGACTTATTGCTTATGTTATTTTATTTATAGTTTATTTTATGTTTATTGGTGTCTGACCAATAAATGCCCGCATTGGGAATAAGTGCCCACATTGATTTTTTTAAAGAACCCCCCTTTATAGAAAATATTTTTTTTTAATTATTCTGAAAATTCAAGGATAGGTACACACTAAAATTCATTAATTTTTTGCCTATTTTTAGATATCTTAAACGTATAAGAAGCGGAATTTAATCAAACTAACAGTGAAATTATTGTAGAACATACGTTTATGTTATAATTAATAAACGAACTCGCTTATTGTACTATTTTAAGTAAAAAACTTTTTTTTTATTATTTTTCACTTTTTTTTATTTTATCCGTCTTTTTTCCAATGCGGGCACTTATTCCCGATGCGGGCACTTATTGGTCAGACACCTGTTAATTTAATGTTACGTATATTTTACATAACAGATACAAAATTTTATTTTGAGTAGTTTTAATTTAAATTCAATTAATAAATTAATTAACATGTGTTTTTACTTCAAGTTTTTAACACTACACTTCACTACAGTTAGAAATTTACAGGAAATCAATATCAGGTAAGTAGGGGGTCTACCCAACACGGAAAAACATGGCAAGGGGTCTACGACACAAAAAAGTTTGGGGAACTCTGTTCTAGAGCAATAACGTAGTTATCGATTTGATATGAGCATCTCCAAGATCCTATTGGTATTCCGCGAGTGTACTTAAAACATTTCCGTGATCATCGATGTTTATTACCATCAGAGCTGCATATGTTTTTTATCATTATAAACAAGTCTGGTCGAACACAGTTGAAGACCTAGATAGCCCCAAATGTTTAAAATTTAACAAGAGATAGACAAAGTCATGTTTTTTAATCGGACAGCGACAACTTCAAGCAGTGTTTACAAACAAAACATGTGTATGTTTTGCCGCAAATTAGCTTTGGTATTGCAAACGTATTCGACTATGGAAAGGAAAGTCCCAACTTTCAGGACACCCTGAATACTTGAAGTAAAGCAAAACACCAGTCAAATGTAAATGAAGAGATCACGCTAAAAAACCGAATCACGAAATGCAGTAAACGCGTAATGCAAAGCCTTTTTCATATGCGCTTCCTCATTTCGGAAGGACCAGCGACTGAGAGCTTCGATATCACACCTCATGTCAAATTCCTATGAGGACCCGTAAATGAATATTTCAAAGTTATGTCCTGTGATAAATAGCATATGTGCTATTACAGGCTATAATATATCCCCATACCAAATTTCATACAGATCCATTCAGCAATTTTTGTGTGATTGAGAAATAATAATCTCTCTAGTAAGGATAGTGGAGATGCTTCAACAACACGATACAAATAATGCATTACGCTAAATTTTACTTCAGAAGTGTCATAGCTCCTCGGTTGTACTTCTCATTTTCAAAAAACGAAATGCCGTTTCAACTGAATATCTAATTCTTGATGACATGTTAGCAAATAAAAAATCGGAAAGGTGTCTAGTAATCAAAAAACGCAACTAGCGATACTGTATTTGGCGGATGATTTTCAGGACAGTAATCTGGCTACATAGAAATAAATGCGTTAACTTTCTCGTTCTATATTAGTATCTATTTATTGACAATTCACCTATAACTTTCTACACTAATTGAAAGTGATTAGGAAACGTTTATTTGGGATATTGTGGTTACTGGATGTTTTAGGATATATTGTTTCATGAAACAACATATTCATTCCTTTCATCCATTCGTAATCATTGATGCTTGTAATTCTGAAAGTACTATTCGGGTTTTGAGAAAAATTTTGCATAAGATTACTACGTCAAGGACAAAAAAGCTTTGTAGGTTTTGAACATCGATCCAGTGACGTTAGATATGACCGAAAAACTAAAATCTCAGAACGTCACCAAATTTTAGTTTTGTATGTCCCTCGCGTTTATCATATTTAACGTAACACAGTACGCTATTGGTTTTGGGCGAAGCAAGATTCTCGAATTTTTTCGAAATAATAGTATACTAAGTGACATATAAATCCTAACACCCAGTTTAAATGGTTTTATTTTAATAAAATTTTGTATAAGTACTTAATGAAGCATAATAAGTAAATGATAAAAATTTCAAAATGATTGCACTGCTTTAAAGCCCTTTGACCTTTAATAATGTGTGGACGCACCCTGATGTGCTACGCATTCTCCAACGCGCCTAGGCATGCTTCTGATCAGGTGGTCAATGTTCTCCTGTGGTATCTCATTCCAGGCAACCACCAACTCCTCTCGAAGTGCTTCTAGAGTCTGAGGAGGACGTTGCAAATTGAGCAATCATCATATCCCACACGTGCTCAATTGGGGATAAGTCGGGAGATCTTGGTGGCCATGGTAACAATGTGACATCATTATGTTGAAAGAAGTCTATTGTGACTCTTGCAACATGTGGTCGGGCATTATCTTGTTGGAAAGTTGGATCTGCCAGGGTGTCAAGATAGGGTAAAAGATGGGGTTCTAGAACTTCGTGGATATAACGCTGCGCGTTCATGTTACCTCTGATGAAGATTAAAGGTGACCTGGAACCATAAGCTATAGCACCCCAAACCATAACTCCAACACTGTGATGAACATGTCTTTCAACAAAAAACTGTGGATTCCTCCTTTCACCACGTCGCCTTCTAAACCTGGCACGACCATCGTGCATGCCTAAACAAAATCCAGACTCGTCACTAAAGACAATACTGTTCCATTCCTGATCCCAGAGTGACCGTTGTCTGCACCACTCAAGGCGATTACGTCGGTGTAAGGGTTAGAAGGCGACGTGGTGAAAGGAGGAATCCACAGTTTTTTGTTGAAAGACATGTTCATCACACTGTTGGAGTTATGGTTTGGGGTGCTATAGCTTATGGTTCCAGGTCACCTTTAATCTTCATCAGAGGTAACATGAACGCGCAGCGTTATATCCACGGAGTTCTAGAACCCCATCTTTTACCCTATCTTGACACCCTGGCAGATCCAACTTTCCAACAAGATAATGCCCGACCACATGTTGCAAGAGTCACAATAGACTTCTTTCAACATAATGATGTCACATTGTTACCATGGCCACCAAGATGTCCGGACTTATCCCCAATTGAGCACGTGTGGGATATGATCGGTAGGAGATTGCTCAATTTGCAACGTCCTCCTCAGACTCTAGAAGCACTTCGAGAGGAGTTGGTAGTTGCCTGGAATGAGATACCACAGGAGGACATTGACCACCTGATCAGAAGCATGCCTAGGCGCGTTGGAGAATGCGTAGCACATCAGGGTGCATCCACACATTATTAAAGGTCAAAGGGCTTTAAAGCAGTGCAATCATTTATTATGCTTCATTAAGTACTTATACAAAATTTTATTAAAATAAAACCATTTAAACTGAGTGTTCGGATTTATATGTCACTTAGTATATATTGCATACCTTGGTGGAGAAGGCCATTGCGGTCTTCTCACGTTATATCCCTCAACCCTACGCGCCTCGGGATATGATGGTACTCGGCCATGACTTTTAAGATGTCAATGCGATAAATAAATATAATCAATAAGATTAATTTCAGTTATAAAGTTGACTCTCTATTTATTTGTAGGAAACAATAATTATTAGTAATATCAATGGCGCATCTAGGACCTGTGAGGCCCGAAACACAACATTGGTATGAGGTCTCTCTATAGTTGATGTGCGGGGGAAGAGAGGGGCTGTAGAACCTCGCGATTTCTTGAATAACTTAACAAAAAACCTCCAAGAGACAGTTTTTAAGCATAATCAATATGGCTTGAAGATACCGATGCTTATTTTTGCAAAAACTAGTGGCCTACAATTTTTCACAGACCAAAAAGCTTTAACACCCCGTATCATAGAAACGGGGCAATCCAGAACCCACGTTTGAAAGATGGATATATAATAAGTTGTAAATCTTGTATCTAGTATCACGGTCAACTACTCTTTTTTCATGACGGATCAATTAGCAGATAATATAATATACAAGTATAGTTTTCTCAAAAGCTTGTTTTGAAAAGAACAGAAACGTTGATTCATATAACATAGCATGTACTTAATACTTGAAAGACTGTGCATCCTTTCTTGTATTGTCTTGTTTTGAATTTTGCTGCTGATAAGTGTAGCCTTTGTCAAAAAAATCGTATCTTGCTCTGAAGCAAGAAACAGACATCTTCCATTGAAAAAAGACTATACTTCCGATATGAGTAATATCTTCAGTAAGATATTACTTCCCCTGATATATGATCTTCCGATCATCATCTTTTACCGCCCAAATTCAGATAATTTAAAACACCTTCATGCTTATCTTCACACACGATGCCGTACCATATGCACGACAATTTTTTTCGTCTAGGTCCGTGTTGGTCCCATAAACGCAGTTGATCTGATTCACCTTTGCGTATATCCACCTGACCCCAGCGTGGCCGGGACTTACCCAGCTGATTAGCATACGCTACTCATCTAAAATATTCATGTTGATGGCCCATCTGAACACAACTCACGCCTGCAATTGGATCTCTCCCACGAATATTAGTTTTTATGGAGTGGAGCACGCCTTGTATTATACGTATGTTGAACGTTTCCCTTAAATGTGGATAGAGGCGGTCAGAAGAGGATGAAATGTATAAAGACTTGAAGCTACGATATTCAAAGAAAATATTTCCTCATGTTTGTATAACCCGTTATTGCTATGAAAAGGTTAATGTCATTACCCTCAAATTAACTTTCAAGTTTCAA